GTCTTGCTTTTCAATTAATTTTTGCTTTTTAGGAAGATCGGTCGTATTTTGTATAAGGTAATGTGAATAGGACCATGTTAAAAAAATAATTTATAAAAATCGAAAACAAAATTCATATTTAATCGATTTTAAATTGATTAAAATCCAAAAATATCAAAATTCTATTGGTTATTCTAATTACTTTTAACTATAAGTGGTTGCAAAACGTGTAACAAATAATTTCTAATCGATTTCTGCGGTTTTTTTTATGTCCATGATATGAACAAATCATTTGTTCTTGTTTCGTCATTGAATAAGTAAAAATGGTTAGATTGAAACTCTTTAAAAGTTTCGAAGAATTTTCTTTCTTCATAGAATTACATCGGTCAACATGTATCAAATTTAGATATTATCGACAGATATTTTGATGGTGCAAAAGTTAGTTATTGAAACTTTAAAAAAAACAGTGTTTCAAAAATTAGCGAGTGATCAAGTTACTTAAGACTTTTTTGAGTCAAAAATTTTATTTAGAAAAAATGAAAAATAAGACTTATTATAGCTTGTATAATGACTGTGAGAGAACTGCAACTTAGTTTTTAAGCGAAGTTTGATGTCACGAATAAACACTAGTGAGACATATGTTTTGTGTTGACAAAAACTCTTAAGTCATCTGTACTGCTTTTGTAAGTATTCTTGTTAGACTTTTTAATTCGTTTCGATAAAATAATCACAATTTTTGAATCTTATTAACAATACCATCTATTATATAATTACATGAATAGTTCTGCAACTTTCAAATATTTATTCATAGAGAAAACATTTTCCTTTTACGAAATCAAACGTCTGAAAGAGCAAAGCCTAGTGTATGTGGTGGATAAATTATGACTTAGATTTTTGTCTCTTGAAGATAATTAAGTTTGAGAACAATATCTTGCATATGTGTTTTTGCATTTTTATAATGTAAAATTATATTATCTATTTTGGACAATGTTTTTTTTCTATAAAAATATTGGACTAACATTTTCAAGTATTTATTCATCATGATAGTTTATGTGATAACTATGTCTAAGATAGTAGCAATATAATGAACACTAATATGTGGATCATCATTCATCAGATCTTTAAAAGCATCATCATTTTTTTAAGTGATGGCAGTTATTGAACGAACACTTCGAATAGTATCTTTCAAGTAGCGGCATATCCAGGATTTTTCAATATGCTGGATTTCACCTTCAGACCATGGGACCCAGAAGAAACTTATAGAGGTATGATATTGAACTCAAATGATGAGTTTTTATCAAAAGATTTTTGTAATGGGAGTTTGCGAAAAAAATTAGCATTTTCCTGAGTTCCCCCAAGATTTTTCTTTCGCAATTAGTGGTATCTTGTTTTTTAGAATTCAATAGTAAGCTACATCAAAATTCATCGACAGATTTCAAATTTCATCTAAAAATATGCATTCGCTCAACGGTTATAATATTTTGAATTTTTTCTAAAATTTTAGCACTATGCAGCAAATTTTTATAACATTATAATTCGTGAGCGGATGTATATTTTTAGATGAAATTTGAAATCTGTCGATGAATTTTGATGTAGCTTACTATTAAATTCTAAAAACAAGATACTACTAATTGCGAAGGAAAAATCTTGGGGGAACTCAGGAAAATGCTAATTGTTTTCGCACACTCCCATTACAAAAATCTTTGGATAAAAACTCATCATTTGAGTTCGATATCATACCTCTATAAGTTTCATCTGGGTCCCATGATCTGAAAGTGAAATCCAGCATATTGAAAAATTCTGGATCCGCCGCTACTTTCAAGGACTCCTGAATCCATTGATTAACTGTACAATATGAAACTACACCTTGTACCTAGAAGCCATAGTTAATTCATTATGCGTGGATTTAAAAATCTACTAAGAATTTTCCATAACAGCACTTGTGAATTATTCGTATTGGTTATTTCATACAAACAGATGTCACTATCAAAATAAGTCAACATGCGGGACAAAAAAAAAAACATTTGAGAACAAAATTTCCGATAAGCTACTGTCAGAACTTTTTCATTACTTTATGTATTGAAGTTCGTAATTTCAATAATAATATTTCATTTTATGCATTGATCAATACAATCATTAAAGTAAACGAAGGATGAAGTACTTTTTATTTTTGGTTGGTTTTGTTCTATTTATGACATAAGTAAAATAAAGAAACAATGCAAGTGTCTATTTCAATCATCTGTTATATTTTGATAGTGCATTTTCATTTCGCGCACACGCATAAATGTATATTTGTACAAGCATTCGTTTTCTTTCATTACTTTTAGAATAATAAAGTCGAAATAATTTTCAAAATAATTACTATTTAAATAACATTGATATTCATTAATACATTCCTTTTTTTTTCAATATCACAATTTCATTTTGCAAAAATACGACGCAAATTTTCTTTTTTGATGTTTTAAATTATTTCAAAAAGTCAAATAATCAATGGATCAGTGTTCGAATTTTTCTTAAACAAAAAAAAAAGTATAATTTAAATCTTGAACAAGATTTAAAAGCACATAATCATATTATGTGATCAAACACGTGACTAAATTTTGTTTTACATTAATGAATAATAAGACGTTGTTTCTTTACTCAATGTATACTATACAGTGAGGGCTCAAAAAAGCATGTACATTTTTGTTTTTACGCATAAACGAATAAAAAAGATGCTCTGAAAATTTTCTCTCATATCGGACTTTGTAGAGCTTTTTTCGCTGATCTTTTTGGTAAAAAAAGTTTTTGATTTTCATTGAGTAATGACGATGTTATAGTCAAAATACTAAACACTGGAATACATACTATATCTAATTACAACTGAACATACTCTGAAAATCACACTAAAACATCTCTAAATTCGTTTCTTTCCAAATAGTAATTATAGAGTTTTGTTCAGTTTTTTATGCTCTTTCATATGAAAGAGTTGGAATTAAAAAAACAAAAAAAAAAAAATATCAAAATTTTATTAATTAATTGCTAATTATTATTAATTATTAATTAACCATTAATTAATTAATTAACTGCAATATAAGTATAAGTGCTTGTTACCAAAATGTAGCCCATTGAATTCTGCGCCGAATGATATATAGAACATCTTTCAGATGTTGTGAAATAGCGTAAAAATTAGCCAAATACTAAAAGTGTGCTAAACTTTTTTCCCTACTTTATATTACAGTGTTTAGTATTTTGACTATAACATCGTCATTACACAATGAAAATCAAAAAAATTTTTACCAAAATGATCAGCGAAAAAAGCTCTACAAAGTCCGATATGAGAGAAAATTTTCAGAGTATCCTTATTATTCGTTTATGCGTAAAAACAAAAATGTACATGCTTTTTTTTGAGCCCTCACTGTGTGAATGAGAAAGTATATGTGTCCTTCACGTACATATTTGTTTAGTGACAATTGATTAGAATAGAAAGACTCATTAAATGTATGATGTTTACCTTTGTACAAATCATACCTATGGACCTTTACTTATTCAAAACAAATGTAAACATGTCTTTTTAAATTAGTCTTAGTTTTGTTTTATATAACATGATCTAAAAGAAGTGTTAAAATATATATTGAGTACGAATTTTGATAGACTCTTGTCTTTCCAAATATTGTGACAGATGCTTTAGCAACATCCTCTGTTTTTGTCACAAGCAGTGCAAAACACTGTTGATTAACGATGTTTGATCGTATATTAATAATTTCTTGTTCAAATATATGAACTATATCCTTATTGCATATCTGAAAGACTAGACAAATCTCATTAGAATTGTATCAAAAAATTTTTATAATTTTTCGAAAAAAAAACCTCCTAAAATAATCAAAATGATTTCATATGAACAATGTTTAGTTTTGATAATTTTTCTTTCAAAAATAATTCATATCAATAGCACTCAAATATTTTTAATAATATCAAAAGAAAAAAGAAGAAAACAATTTTTATTTTTTTGAATAATTTACATTGAATAATAAAGAAATTAAATTTTATTTAAATATAATAGCTCTAATTTATATCAATTTTGAAATAATTCTTCAAGTGTTATTATCTTTAACAATATGATCAAATATTATTATCAAATTATGCTTGTTTTTGCTTATTCAAGGTTTTGTTTTTCAATTAACCTTATAATCATTCATATGAATCGTTTCATTCACAAAGAAAAAACATAAAGAATTGATTTTTTCGAATAAATACGGATTATTTAATATTTTTTCAAACATATGTCTATCGTTGAAGACTGTAATATATTTTTTTTTCAAAGGTCGATCAATAAATATTTTTGTGTAAAATAAAATTTGTTCTTGTATAGAACATATTTGAAATGAACAAAAAAATTTATCTTCAAAATTATGAATTAGCAACAAATAAATGAAATTATTCAAATCTGTTGAATATTGATATTTTAGAATTCAAACTCTATTTTTCAATTTTCAATAACTTACACGAAAATTATATGATGATGGAAAACTTAAGCATACCAAAAGCATGTTCAAATTATGTCTCGAAATTACTATGATATAAATCAGTACATTTCTCAAGGATTAATGAGTGCATTATAAAGAAACCAATAATTTGAAGTATAAATCATGTAAAACGAAACAAAAGATATTTGTAATCGACATCATCAAACAGTAATAGACAACAGGCACTCATTTACTAAATTAACGTTTATTGACAAAAGAAAAAACAAATTCATAATGAAATATTGTCCTTCAACTGTCACGATAGTTATATATAGATTTTTGTTCAATAATTCTACTCATTTATTATTGTGCTATTATAAATAAATCGTAATAGGTTATTTTTAGTAAAACTATTCATTAATGAATGACGTGATATAAACTAGCACTCACGCGCCTATACACGCCCTTCTATAAAATTTCATCCTATAAAAGTCAGTAACAAATCTACAACAAAATTATCAGTTATTCGTTTCTCTTCATTTTGTATTATTAGCATAGCAAAAATTTCAAACAATTATGGCTCGATTGATTTTATTTACTTGCATTGTGCTTTTAGCAATTATTTACGTCAATCCTACTTTTGCTGGTTTCGATCGTGTCAGAAGCAATCTTGGAACAACACTTAATGGTGCAAGATCTTGTATTCGAACAACTACAAAGGAAATTAGAAGACAAACAGGCTCTTTTCATGATAATATGGAGACAAGACACATATCAAATCTTAGTCAATCAATTTGTACTGATCTTCTTGATATTGTCTCTGAAAGTGAACAAAATGTAAGAACTGATCTTCAAGATGCTTTCAATTCGATTTCTTATGCTGTTAATGCGATTGAACATGCTGTTATAAATGCAATTCCATTATTAAATCATATTGTTATTGCTCTTTCTCAAAATCTACAACGTTGTACTAATCTTGTCACACAAGTTGGACGATTAGTTATTGATCTTGTTGGAAATATTACAAATAATTTACAAGACACATTACAATATATATTAGTAAGTCAAACAAACATTTTTATACTTTGCGAATGTGAATAAAATAAAACACGACATAAATTTTTATTTTTATTGTAGAATCAATTGATTATTCTTGGTGATACTCTTCTTCGTCGTCTTGGAAAAGTTATTCAAAGACAAATATTCAATACTAATAATGCATGCCAAAGAATTAGTAATAGTATTATTATATTACTTCCTACATTAAATAATGCACAAACTATTCGAATTGCACCTGTTTTAAGTTCTCTTTGTAATCTTCAAAATTTAATAAGTATTTTGATAGCCAATACTCTTGGACCATTATTTGCATTAATGGAACAATTACGATTTGGACTTCAAAGTCTTTTAGGTTCAGCTATTTCATCAATGACTTGTACACTTACTGAACTAGGTGTATGTAGACCTTGTAATAATGGTAACGGTCTTGGTAATGGTAACGGTCATGGTAATGGTAACGGTCGTGGTAATGGTAATGGTAACGGTCATGGTAATGGTAATGGTAACGATCATGGTAATGGTAATGGTAATGGTCGTGGATAGGATAGTCAAGAACATGAAGAAAGTCACAAGCATAAAACAACTGCTATGTGTCTATCAATCAATCATGAAATAGACAGCTCAAGATTCTTTTATTTTTTTTGTACATTACATTGTTTCATTTTTATTCTAGCAATTTTTAAATAAACCAGCTAATTAATAAAACTATGCTACAAATATTTTATTGGATAATGAATAGAAAAACTCTAATCGACCTTGACTGAGATAATATGTTGGGTATAAATAAACTGTATATTTGTATGTTTCAAAATAATTTTATAATCTATGAAGAGGAAGAATACCTAAAAAGAATTCTTTTGATATACTTGTATATGCTATCATACAACTTCTTTCTTGAGAATCATTGTTCGAATCAGTAAACTATTGATGTTTTTTTCTCTAATGTTATTTTACTTATAATTGAAATATCTTTTAACGTAAAAACATATGTCTATCTTGTTTTTGAAGAAGTATGTCTATCATTAAAGTAATTATTAATTGATGTGGATTTTTCGCTTGAACAAATTAATTTTTCTAGTAATATTCTTCAATATATTTCATTTTTCATATTGTTTGGTAAATGCCTCAAGTCTTCGTATATTTTCATCATTTATTCTTAGTTTAATAAAAGCCAATACTCATTCAACACACGGAGCATCAATATTATCAAGCAAGGCAATTAAAGCTGTTACAACACAAATAGGAATAATTTCTGTACTTAAATATTTTTTTTTGTTCATTCAACTAAATGTTTTATTTAAATATTTGAATGAATAGATCAACAACGAAATCGAATTTGAAATATTTTCAGATGTATTTGTTCACCTAATGATTGAACATAAACAAGACAATCAAAATATCCACGTTGCATCTATACTTATAGAAATTCAAGTGAAATATGAAGTGTTATTGCTATATTTGAATCACTTTTACATATTGAATCAATAAATACAGGTCGATTTTTAGTTGCAATAATTGTTAAATCTTTCAATACAATTCTTTTCAATGAGAAGTGTAACAACAGCACAATCATTGACATTAGATTCATTGTAATCGAAGAATAATATTCAGAATTTTGCTTTCATAATAAATAAAAAACTAACGAATCTAATGAATTTGATTATTAACTAGCAATAGCATCTATGTCATCGAAAAAAAATAATTGCTGATGCAGCAATACATGCATGATGATATAGTACTTGTACAGCTCGTTCTAAATCACCAAACTATCTATTAAATCATTGTAGTTCTTATTTAAATTTTAATGAATTGAAGGAAACAAGATTAATAATCAATAAACTTTAACAGCCATAAAAATTGAGATTTAATTCAGTAGCAGTAGTTATTACAACCATTATTTTTGAATAACCAGATAAAGCAGACATCAAACTGCTCGAATGCATGAGAATATTTTATTAGTCAAACAACCATTTCGTCAAGAGTCTTTTTTAAAACTCATAGTGATCACCAATATTTGATCATTTTACTTTTGATACTTCAAGTATAACTTGATACATACTCTATTCAGTTGAATGGCAGTTAAAGCATTTTCAAAATGTTCCATATTTAAATTTATGTTCGATTCTTTATTTTTTCTTGCATAATGATTTGCTAATTGAACATAAAAAAAGAATAATAATTTCTGAACTATTTTAGTGGCGGTCATAAGTTTAAAGCATTTGTATTTTTGAGTTTTCTTCTCAATAGTAGTTACGAGGAAAGGTTTGAAAAAATATTTCAGTAACTGAAAGAATTCTCTATGAGAAACGTTTTTGATATAAAATAGGTATTGAAAAAAAGTTTTTTATTGGCAAATCGATATTAGCAAGAGTTTGAAAACGTTTAATGAAAGCAACACATTTTCAATTATTGATAGTTTTGATCATATATGATCGATCATTATTTCAAGGAAATCTTTGATCAATCAATTGAAGTATTCAAATGAAAATATTTAGAACTAGGATAAGAAACTTGCTGATTCAATAAGAGAATTCAACATAAAATTAAACGTCATGATATGATTCATAATTTTAAAATTTTTCTTCTTTTTTGAATACTTCAACACAACTTTATTCTATATCTTTTCAGACGTTATCATTTACCAAAATTGAAGTTTTGGATTTCATATTCATTGTTCATCAAGAAAAACCAATTGAAATTAGTTCGAAATTTAGTCTCGTTATACAACCATTTGATTGGCTATGTTTCAAAAAAATTATATTAAACTTTTCTTTTTTTTTTTTTCTAAATAAACTTTCTAAAATCTTTTGATTGTGTTGACAGTGGCTCATGGAACATACTAAATTTACTCTCTTCACAATGCGATAGACAAAATAAAATAACTACTTGATCTTCAAATATATTATTAAAAAAACTGGTATTATCAATATTTTCGAATAAGTTATTGTTATTTAATGATAAATGTGTACATAATATTATATTTATTTTTCCAATAAACCAAATGAATATTGATATATACAAACAAATGTGTCATTCATGAGATTTCAATAAATTATTTTCAGTTCTATTCATTGAGTTTATCGAAAAATTCTAAAAAATATACTCTTTATTTTGGAAATAATAATCAAGACACTTTGTCCACTTTATCTTGTAATGAAGCAAAAATTAATCAAAGAATTTTTATAGCGTTTATATCATTTATGTCTTAGGACTCGTTTCGATTCTTTAACCATACCGGCACCAATATGTATTCCATTTTGTTATGTTTTGAATTGTTCGCATTGCAGAATATATCAGTCTATTTGTCTCATAAGATAAACGATTCTAAAACTTTGTATTGACGTAGTTTTATATGTCGATTTTTCTATTTCATTATGAAAAATTACTCATTAAAAAATGAAAACACAGTTCAAATTAAAACAAAACTGGAAGAATCATCATAAATAATAGTAAAAAATGAAATTTTGAATAAATAAGTCTCTAGATCGTTTTGTTCATCATTAAATGAGTTTTTTGCTGAATAGAAGAAAAGTGATGTGCAGCTGTTCTTTATTGAACTAAGACCAATTGAGATGTTTCAAAAACTTTCTCGATACTCTAATAACAATTAACAAAACATCAGTGTGAATTTAGGTGTATCAATGCGCGTTTGACTCTTCTCTTACCACATCGAGCGCATATAACACACTGAATTAGATTAATAGCAGTCTACAAACAAAAAACTGGAGACTTTTCGTGCTTTCTCATTTGAATGTTATAGAAAATGTTGGAAAGTGTACCACTACAACTTTTGCACATTAACAGAAAACATTCGAATACAGATCGATCAAAACTGATAGACTCCATGCACCTTTCTTTCAATGAGATGCATATAAAATTAATAGGATATTGCCAACAAAAAGCCAGGGAGAAAATAAGGAACACAAGAACATGATGTTTGTTTACAACAGCAAGAATCAGCAAACAAGAGGATTGTTGATTGGTTTTGCCAACTTTTTTCAATGATATTTCAGATGCCATGAAGAAAGAAACCGAACTTTTCTTTCAACGAAGGAGAATTTTTGTTTTTCTCTTTGATTTAATAATTATAAATAAGTTGAAGAAATAGGAGAGACCAATTTGGCTAAGTAATCATCACGACATAAACTTTGTAAAAACAATTCGATGCTTATTCGTCATTCACTACAAACTGCACTCGTGCAAACAACCGTCGATGATAGATGAGCGAAAGAAACAATACGACAATAGAGAGACTAAGAATGAGAATAGCTTGTCACTCTGACATGACATGATTACAAGCGAACTAGGACAATGTTGCAAAAAAAAATATAAAACCAGATGATAGTCATACTGGAATTTATTCGTTTTGATCAATCAAAAATAGGAAAATAAATTCTAAACTACCTGCTTACATAGTAAGTTTTACCATTTCGAAGTTTCACTCCTTCATTCCAATTTAATTGCATTCGATCAATGATTGTATCGAACTGTTCAGCAACTTTTTCATACGAACTAGCACCAGTTACATGTCCATTTTCCATACGAGTCTCACGGACCGAGTTACTCATATCACTACTAGTTGCTTGTATCGTATCAACAATATTTCTTGCAAAATGAGCAATGGAACGCTCTTTACCATCAGCTGTTTGAATAAATGCTGAGAGAAGTGGTAATTCTGTCGATGTCTGAAAATGTCCTAAGAAATATTTTACAGCTTGACCTTTCGATCGATTGACTTTTCCTTCGGTAATAGCCAAATTTGAAACATCATTCAAAACAGATCGTAACGGTCGTAATACCAGCGTATTGCTAATACGAGGTGCTAATTCAGGTGTGTGACGAATAGCACAAGCAAGTATTTGTGCTTCATGAATGTGATCAATATCGTAAATATTCAATATTGGTTCTCCATTTTCCATACTTAATTTTGTTTTCGTATAAGGATCCATATTCTGACATCGATTCACGA